TCCTGGCAGACACGAAGTAAGTGGTGCCATTTCCTCATCGTCTAGCAAGCAGAAATAACTACTCTTTCTTCCTTCTAAAGCTGCAGTCAGATACAGAAGGAAATAAATTTCTTAGTATTAATGGATTTCTCAATATCGCTGTTACAGTCTGTGAAGTCATCACGCCAGCCTGCAACCCAAAAGCGTGCTTATGGCAGCAAGATGACCCACATCACTTCTCCCTGCAGGTCAGACACATCAGTTTTCTCATGCCTTTGCAGGCTTTTCTGCAAACAGCTTGAAGATGACCTCCACATACTCTGTGTTATTGGAAAACATGACATGCCTGTCAGTTATGGAAAGCAAAAGAGTGGCCATCAGACATGAAACAACAAGAACTCATCGGTGCAGCATAACCACATCGTGTAGATTAAATAGTTGTCTGCTGCTTTATCCCACCACTGAGAGCAACAGTCTCCAAACCCCAGTTCTTACTGTGGGATCTTCCACCACCACTCAAAAACAAAGGACACCATAAGCAGCCTGCAGGGAACTCCGACACAGGCTGAGGAGGAAGGGAAAGTATGCTGTCAGAAGTATTTTCATCATCTGATGCTATCACCCAACACGCAATGACTATAACCTGCTCCCCTGGGACTTGGCTGCTGCAAAGCAGCAGGGAGCATCTGTGACACTGCAGCTCTTCTAAGCCTTCAACTTTAGTGCCTGTAATCTTTCTCCCTGACACTTTTTCAGTATCTCTAATGTATTTGATCTTCCCCCCACCAAATAGCAGAATTTTTAATTAACGCATTAGTAGTGATTTATGAAAAGCATCAGTGAAACTGGTCAGTATCTTGATTATTTCATTTCACTGTGACATTAGAAATGTGTGGGTGGAAACAAGAATTTCAAAGCTGGTCAGACTCAAAAACAAACAAACAAACAAAAAACAACGAACAAACAAACAAAAAAACCCAACCCGGAGTCCCAATATTTCAGCTATTTGTATTTTTAGGACTGTCTTTGCAACAGAAGCCCCTAACAAAGCTGGAGAGCTAGAAGCTATGGAAGACAGCTAACAGCAAGATAAAAACTCAGGAGCCGCAGACTAAAGCTCCCCAACCCACACCACCCGCGGTGCGTCACTCCTCTGGCTACTGCTTCCGTGACCCCGAGAAGCCGCCCCCCCCCCAACTCTCCGCACACCCCCAGGGCGCGGGAGCGCTCTGACAGCAGCTCGAGGGCGGCGAGAGGCTGCTGCATTTCGGCAGAAACGAAGCAGCGGAGCGCGGGTGCCCGCAGCCCGCCTGGGGACGGGGTACAAGGGCTCCTCGCCTGCCGCTGAGGCCCAGCCGGGACAGAACTCAGCGGGGAGCCCCGCCGGCTCCAAACCCTCCTGCCTGCAGTGGCTCGCCGTCCCTCCCTCAGCCGGGTGAAGCCAGACCAGGCCCCCGGCACCGCGGTACCCGCCCAGCCCCACGCATCCCGGCCGTCGCCCCCAAGCCACGCTCCTCCCGAGGTGGCGCTGCCCGCCGAGGCCTCACCAGCTCCTTGGGCGGCTTCTCGGGGGTCTTCCCGAAGAGGCCCATGGCGGCCGCCGCCGCCGCCTCCCTCAGGGGCTGCCGAGCCCCGCTGCGCATGCGGCGCCGGCCCCGCCCGCCTCCGCCGCTTTCTACGCATGCGCATATCTCCGCCCCCCGCCCGCCGCTGAGGGGCGGCACCTGCCCGCCTCCGCCACTTTACTACGCATGCGCCTGGATGCGCCCCGCGGGGCTGGCAGCTCCCACTGCGCATGCTCCTGCCTGGCTTATTATGTATGCGGAGGGCTCCGCCCCGCCCTCACGCGGGGTGGGGGGGGGGGCGGTGATGTCCGAGCACCCCACGCGTGGGGTGGGTGGGTGCGTGCGTGTATGTATGTATGTGTGTGGGGGGGTGTCCCCAACGGTCACGGGGCAAGGGCGAAGACGCCCTTCACTGGGTCTGAGAAAACCCCGTTTCCCGCGCCCCTCCCACGCGCGTGGACCTGACACGCAGGAGGAAGGGAGTGCGGAGGCGTGAGCAGGATGCGGCCAAGGCCCTTAACGCTGCCTGGGCACCTGGCGGGGTGGGGGTGTGGTGGTTGTGAAGGGGAGCGGCGGGAGGTCAGAGCAATACACGCGGCTGATGGAGGAGGTTACATCACCACCTGCCTTCGCCCCATATTTATATATATTAAAAAAAAAAAAAAAAAAAAATCGAGTAAAGGGGCGACTCAAACCGCACTCGCCATCGTTCCCCGGCAGCCCAGGGAAGAGCCGCCGGAGACATGGCGAGGCAGGGGAGCCAGGTACAAACCCGGAACGGTCAGCGATGTCCCGTGTGCCCCCTGCCCCGCACGGCCTGGCCCCGCAGCAAAGGGCGGGTAACCCGGCCAAAATTAAGGAACAGCTTATAGCCAGCCTGCTGGGTGCTGCGGGGGTGAACTCCAGCAAGCCACTCCGTCTCCTCACACGGGACTAGAAATAATCACCCGTGCACAAAAACGGCGCAAAAGCTTAGGAAGAAAAAGGTGCGATGAGCTTCATCCAATTCTAATACCTTACAATTATACTTACCCTCATTATTTAATTCCCAGAGAAAGACATTTTAATAACAGTAACAAAAAGGCACAGCTCACCTTTGGTTTTTTTCCTTCCAAAACCTAATGCAGAACAAAGCCAGATCTAAACATGCTTTGGAAAGGAGAGCTCTCGTTTTGGACTGGGTACCAGCAGTGGGAAAAGCCAGGGTAAGAAAACAGTAATCACTGCACTTGAGACTGAAAAAGACCTTCAGAGATGAACTAAGTCCACCCGCTCTATTGCAACACAAAACAGCCAATCGCCTTCATTAAATCCACTGAAGTAGGTAACCTCACATCCATTGTGCCACGTTTTCTGTTTACAGTTGGCCGCCAGCCTTCAGGCACGACATGTCAAGAGAATAAAACACTACTTCAAGAATGTTTAGCGTCTCAGCTAACTCAAGACACTTCACAAGTACTAGCACGACCCAGCCCAGCGAGGCAAAACAAGCAAGCAGCAAAACCACTGACCTTGTTATAGGCACAGTCTTTGCTCTGCTCTCTGGGTTTGAAGCTGTCAGCACTTTGGGTAAGGGCTGTCTGAGATTCTGTGCTCTGTAGAAAACAATCCTACTTGGATGCTTCTGCTGCTACTGACATGAGCATGTCATAAAATAAATACATCCAACTGCTTTTTCTTTCCTGCAGGGACTACCAATACACTACACCAGCTGCTGTAGATTTTGAAACAGATGCATCGCCAAGAATTGGATCACAACAATTTATATAACCCAGGCTAACACACACGAGGGCACCGCATCTTCAGTCACAGCTATCTACTGGTCATAATTATCTGCTCATATGGATGTGCCCTCTGTGGCTCTCCTGCTAATTACACTGCAGTTCACGTCATTCATCAAAAGAATTGGACTAGTAGAGCACCTGAGGTCATTAAAGCAAGTCTTCAGCTGAAACAGGTGTGCACGATGGTTTGCAAATAAGGCTGATCCTGTGCACAGGAGCTCCTTGGGCCCAGGCTTTGTAGGAGGAGGTCAGCTTTCAGCAGCAGAGCTGTGCTCCAGAAGCGCACAGTGCCCCGAGGACGCGGCGTTGCTCGAACGTAGGGCTCGCAGGGTTTGGCAGCGTGCCGAGGTACCCGTGAAGGGGTACAGTGGCCTGCGATACAGCAGTTCGCCTGTGTACTTCAGTGCATCAACCACAGCCTTATTTATATTCATGAAAGTTCTCCTCTGTCTCCCCTTTGGAGATGGCGAGGCCGCAGTTCAGTGCGGGTTTCAAAACAGTCCTGAAACAATGTGGACTTCAAACCCCAGCTACTTATAATAAGCACATGGGCTAAGTGTCACATTGCTGCACAAATTGGAAGCACAAATGCTCTTTGCCCTCATTATGTCTCCCCACTGCTCTGCTGCAGCTGTAATGACAGATAAAGGGCATGTACTGACAGGTCTCAACTGGAATAAAAATTACTTTCTGGACCACAGGAGAGTTGGTGATATTATGCCCTTTCTACCTCCTTGCTTCAGTACTGCAATAGGGAAAAGAGAGAAAAAAGTACAATTAAAAACAGCTCTTCTGATAATTACAAGAATATCCTCTCGGGTGGATACCTGGTGACTGAAGGCATGTAACATTTATTAAAAAAAAAAATAGTGCCCAGGTACCCCAGACAGATAAACTATGTCAGACAACTTTATAAGCAGCAGCCCCCCAAATCTCTATAAGGGCAGAAAAAGAGATGGATTGTAACTGCAAAAGGGACCTGTGTTTACATTTTCTATTGTCTTCATTTAATTATCCCACTTTCACACATGGCCAAGAACTAGGAAATAAATAAAACAATGAGACAATTGAAAACATCTTTCCAGTTTAGCCTTTTCTTCTGCTTTTACCAGCTCATGCTCTTTTTTTCCTCTTTTCTCGCTCCCTCTCTTTTTTTTCTTTCTAACCAACATTTCTTCTCCATATTTTCAGCCAGATGATTTCTGAAAGGTACAACCAAAACCACAATTTCATATTGAAATATTAAGAAGACGCTAGCCTCTATTTTTTTTTTTATGGCACCCAACAACTATCACTTTTCTCCAAGAAATCACTTCAAAATAGCAGCAGTTGGAATCTGGCAGTTTTTACCTTTACAAGGCACTTTTGTCACTGCATGATAATATTCTGCTCCTTCACGATGGCTTGAGGCTGTAGAGGGGTTACCCTAAAGTCTTCCCAGATGTCTGCAGATGAGGGTGCTGGAGAGATGGCTGGTAGAAGAGGGTCCCTGTCTGATAAAGCAGTTTGTAATTAACTGGAAAACCACTGGCCAAGCAGAAGCACCTCGGCACAGAGGACTTACGAAGGAAGCAGTTCCCAGCAAAACACCATCGCCTTCTGCTTGGCCCGTGGCTAACACTGGAGCAGTGAATTCCTACATCGTTAGGAGATGATTTATTAGTCACAAAAGTTGTGTTATATTTTTATTGTCTTCACAGATAAATCAGAACCAGCAAGACATCCGTAACCATACACACAAAATATTTATCAAAACAATTAACATTACTAATCTCCTTTTAAAATAATTTATTTCACTGATTTCTTTTTAAATGGTACTGTCTTACAACATACATTATTCAACAAAGATGTGCTGAACAGACTCTAAAATAAGAAACACTTAAATTAAGCAATTGTCTCCGATTAGAATTTCAATTTCACCCACATCCTAACTTGTAAACGTTTGCTGGAATACGCATGTGTTGTAGGCTTGATTTTTGTGCTTACAAAAACAGCATCAAGTTTCTAGATGTCGAAAAGGTTATTGTACGGTAAGTATGCGTTCCGTTCAACATACAAGGCAACCAAATGATTCTGTCGTTAACGTTAGCATTGTGTATATTTTAGTTCACTGCACTAACATTTAAACTAAAACTCCAAACCACATAATCTTTTAAGTGACTAACATTTAAAAGGCAAGCAGTAATATCCTGAAAGCTTACAAAGGACATCAGCACACAGCTAAGATGGGGTATCATTCGTCGAAGGCTGTGGATGTGTATATGGCTGCTTTTTTTTTGTACGAAGCCCACCTGCAGACGGGGCAGTAGTGTCGCCCGCCCGCCAGCCACATCATGATGCAATTCTGGTGGAACACGTGGCCGCACGGCAAGCCTATGAGCAGACAACCGTTTGCAAAATTTTCTAGACACACAACACATTCTGTACAGTGCAACATCTCGGAGGGCCAGGCTGACCAATCTGGCTCCACGTCACCCGCGGTGCTGCACGAGCCGTACGATCTGGTTTTCTGTTCGCACGGCTCGTGATGACAGTATTTACTGGCACACGAACAGGTCTCAGCACCGCACCGAGGCTCTCCTTCACTGTGCCTATGAAACGTGTTTAGCTCATCGTCCTCCAAGACTTCCTTTTCACTCCTGAAGCTCTCTTTGTTTTCACTGTCAGAGTCACTTTCGCTGTCTTGAAAGGCTTCCAGCACTTCCTCATCAGAATGGACGCCAAGGCATTTAAACCTCCACATTGGTAGGTTTTTTATATAATCGGTTGGTATCAGAGGGTGAAGCCAGAGATCGGGGAAGGCCAACCGCTCTAAGAACAAATCCGGGTCTTCATCCCAATCTGAGTCAGAAGGAAAGCGTTGAAAAGAAGCAATAGGATGAAACAAGTAGCTGGTGTACCAGTCCCACAGGCTTGACAGCCACTCCAGATTATTAGCGTTTACTTCATCGGTGTTGTTATTGCGTCGTCTTTTCTTCTCAAAGTAATCAATTAGTAAACCATGACCAAGGTATGTGCTGAGGAAGAGGGCTGGATGCGAAGAGTAGAACATCCAATCAGCTCTTACCCAAGAAGCCAAAGTAGTTGTGTTAGAGTACCTGAAGAGTTTTAAACTGTACTCATAAAAGCTGTCTAAGTAGGGTAGTTGCAAAAAACCTAACACAGGTAGCCAGGAAATAATTAATAATGAATTATACGTCCCTAAAGTGCTTATAAGAACCACAAAACGCTTTATAGTAGCGCCTTGTGTAATAAACAGGTCCATCCAAGCCATCAGATTAACCAAAACTAAGCTTAAAACAAATAAATCATTAACTTCTGGTTGTAACGAGCGCAAAAAGGAATCCATGGCACGTAGCGAGATAAATTCACCAGTGTTATTTCCATACCTGTAAATCCCCTCAGGAGTCCTCAGTATGTACGATGGTGTCTTGTAGATACCAATTTCTGCCATGTAACTTTTATTGTCCCAGTTTTCCACGTTCACAAAAATAAACTCTACTCTTCCAGTAAACTTCACACTTAGTGCAGAGAAGAACGCCGGAGGCTGGTCAAGGTTGGCAAACAGGTATATTTTCACACGGTACTGGTCACTTTTGTTCCATTCTTCTTTTAGATGTTCAGAATTGTAGATGGTTTTGATTCGAGAAGCAGCATGGGCTGTGATCCATTTGAATATGTGCTCCACTTCAATTTTGCGCCCACTGTATTCCTTAAGCATTACTTTTCCTTTGGAGGTACTGGTTTGTGGAACCGACATAATGAGGGTGGATTTCAGCCAACCTCTCCTCCTGCAGTATCTACAAAGAAAATGGCAGGTTAGATTACAGAGTTTCACAACCCTGGAGCTGCAGTGCTTAAATTTCTGTTATAAACCCCAAAATGAGACCAGCTGAGTACCTGGGAATCTTTACATATAATAGTAGGATATACAGGCACCCAATATTCTCTGGCAAAGTGTATTTATTTTTACAATACATTTGTTACCTATCTTACAGAAATGTTGTAAAGAGATACATATTAATAGAACAGAAGAGGAATAGTATTAACTTTCACGGGTCATTATAGTAAACAAGGCCATACAGTCATTCATCCTTTTTAACTGGATTTGAAAAACATGCAAGCTAACTCTTCACTATAAAGCTTTACTATTAGAATCTATTTTTCCTTGGCCTTCCAGACAGGAAGAGAACCACTACAGTGCAACTCAATGTCCCACAGCTTTCCCGAGCCTGCAGATAACTTTCCCCCCAGGGCTTCCTTCTGTCCCAGTTTTGCCAAGCAGCAGTGGGGAAAAGTTAACAAGACACGGGTCTGTTTGCAGTTGCTTTAATGAAGCTGACAAGTGTCCATTTCCTACGGGGACCATTTTGGAAGGATGCAGGCAGGCTAAGAGACACGGTGAGAGAGCTTGCCTCAAAACCAGCACAGGGGGAAGCAGACAAATGCTGATGCATGATCTGGGCTAAAAGAATACCCCCACTGTCTGGCAGGCAGAGTGCTGAGATGGGATGAAATCCAAATCCACACCTAAAAGAAGAGACTCTTCAAGGCTGAACTCTGAGTCATGGTCCAGACCCCAGCAGCTATGAGACGAGTCTGATGACTCAGAAGATCCCTTCCCTCAAGCATCTTTCCTACCAGCACCACTATGCCACCCAATTTATCTAGGTTTCCTTTTAAGAAACGTCTGGCAAGTTTCAACAATCAATACACAGCCATCAGGCATGCAAATCGTCTGCAAGAACCCCTCATGCTGAAATAGGGGCCATCAGCCTCAGTCACTAGCCATCTTACCTACATCCTCTCTGGTTTTGGTATATTTATATTTAGACAATTACAACTCCTCATCTCAGGAATCCGAATGTAACATTTTTAGAAGGAGATGTAAGATATTACCCTGCCCATAAATGTATCCTGACTACTGGAGCATGCAGTTCTGAATTTTGGCTGCAACCTGATGAAAACTATTCACAAGGGTTTCCTCAATAGAAGTTCTTGTATTAGGAAAAAATTAGTTCATTCAAAACATAATATTTGATCATAACATTAAGACTCCTTAGGAACTATGCAAAGAGAAGTACTGCCAAGATTTTAAGAGGTTCAAATACCAGTGTTTTGATTATACGAGATCATTTTGCATAAGCACTGCAAAGTCTAAGAATTTTCTCTTACGATCAGCTCTTGAGATTTCTGTAAACATTTAGGACTTAAGCTGTGTAAGACATGTATATCCATACATGCCACTAGAAGTCTAGACAAAGCTTCTAACAAAATGTTAGAAAAAAAAATTATTTTTACAGCAGCACAGAATTATTAACAGCTGCTTTGGCTCGGCTCTTCTTGTTTGAAATCACACACAAACAACAGTGAATCTTGCATAGCACACTGTATGTTGTCAAAGGGCGTGTGCAAGTTTATATATACACATTTGTCAAGGAACAGGATTTGTCAGTAATCCTGAGAAGCAGGCACTGTTTGCAAGGTTCATGCTAACTTGTGTTCCTCCTTTCCAGATGACAACACAACTCTACAACTGATACAGTTTTCTTACATGGGCTATATATATTCAGTTTTGTCTTAAGCAAGCACAGTTCTTGTCCATGGATGCACAAACTGTAAGGCCAAACTCTTCTATTCATTCCCTTCCATTGCTGTATTATGCTCTGCATAGTCTAATCATGTATTTCCCACATGATGCTTTAGGAAGCTGCAGATCTGTGTTTATGATGCTGATAAATAACATAATAGAGAATTCTGAACAGACTTCAGTAGAGATAAAAACCATGAATAAAGCCACCTTCTGTCACAGCTACTTTTACAACAGAGCAAGCTCTGCTGCCAGAACACAAGTGAGCCTTAAGATACTGCTGGGATTTAGATAATCCTTTAAGAATATACCTGGGGTCACTGGAACAGTTAAAAGTGCCAGTACGTATGCCAAATCTTGATACTTTCTTCACCATTTTCTCCCAGTGGACTTTACCCACCAGTGGGCTTCTGTCATTTGCTATGACCTGTTGCCAAAAGAAAATAATAATTTAGTATCCCAGTAAGTTTGCTTCCTGAAATAAAGAGCAAGTTTCATGAAAACAGAGATCTAGACTCCCTTGATACCGTTTTCCCCTTCTCTTAGAACATAAATTATATACTACCGGTATTCACAATAAATGTCTTTGGAGAATGAAGCTGTAAGACAGAAATATAGTTCATTCAGAAAGACAAAAGTGCATCACCATTCTAAGTACCTGTTAAGATACACTATAGTGGTAGTTAACAAAAACATTGGGAAAATAACAAAACTATCATTAACCAGTTCATGATATGGGAGAAAGGGAGAGGGTGCATCAAGATCCTCTTTTTTGCAGTAAAAAAAAGATCATTATTTTATTACAATTCTCCATGAAAAGTTACAACATACCAAAGAGATGTTGTCTCAGAGCAAGTAAAATGAGTTGGAACGTATATACCTGGTACTGGATTAGCCTGCCAACAACCATTTCTAAGTGGTGGAGACCAGTGATTAAACTCTAAGATAATGCCTAAAAACCTTGACTCCTTCCAGCTTTGCCAGTGACTCACTCTGTAACTTTGCGTGACTGTTCCACCAACTCCAATGTCCCATCTGCCATTTCAGGATAATAATTCACTGTGATATCCCAAAGTCTAATTTGTTCTAACCTAGGATGTTAAAGTAGTACTTCAGGTTGCCTAGACATAAGCTTCTGCAGACACAAATGACAAAGAATAAGCTTTCATCCTCTGACTTATAACTGGGAAAGTGGGGGGGGAGTGGAGAAGAAAAACTTGCCTGTCTGCAGTTAAAGGTAATTTTGAATGACATGACTGATCACGCATTATTCCATGAGCCGTCACAGTTTCTATTTTAGAAGTGCCTCACATGCTTCTGCAAGCTTACTGGCAGCCACTTAAAATATATTTTTAAATTAAGTTTTGAAACTCCCATTTGTTAGGTATTTGTTTTTTTATTTGTTAGGTATTTGTTTAAACTTCTCCCAGTAATCTTCTAACTTAATAACCTCAAATGTCAGCTTTCCTCTGGAAGTTCAGTTGTCACCATAATTAACAGTTCTCTCTGTAGAGGCTGAGACAACCTGGGAAGTGTGTCTGGCCTTTGAGAGTCAAAAAAAAATCACCTGCTTTGTGATAAGTAGCATCCTCTCAGAAACTTAAAATAAGAGAATTCACTAAGAACATTCTACACAGGGAAACAAAGTTAAACTGAAGTTACAGATTACACTCCCATTCCACTGAGCCCAAGATGTTTAAATAAAACCAGAGGTGAACATCTAGGTAAGAATCCTTCAATTTGTTCTCAAAACACACATATCACACAGAAAAGCCTTTTTGATGAGCTAAATGTAACCTTCAAGTACCGAGACAACCAGCTGGGGAAATCTGTTGTATTATTGAAGCTTCTGTACATCACCCAATGTAACTGAAGCAATTACTTTGGATATTTTAAACTTCTTCCTCTCATGTACTTCAGCTAAGAGAGACCACACTCCTGAAGACACCTTTAATGCCAGTATATCCTTAGAGCTACTACGGCATGATAAATGCATCCAACACAGTAAAGAGTCACTGTTTTATTAGTAAGCATCAAAGTAAAATGGTGATAACTGGATTACTCTTTGGTACAACTACTGAGAGATCGGTTTCTTCCAAAATTCTGTGTTCATGTTCTGAAAAAGCCTAGCACAGTTATTAAGAGTATGCTAACGCTATGTGCAAGAGGACCAATCCTGCTCAGCTGTTTCTTCTGTCTGATACTACAATACTCACTTTAAGCTTCAAGAGAAGTAGATTTGTTGCACATACGGTCACCAGTATGTTTTACTGTCATCTGGCTGTTTGTACTAGTGGATTTTTTAACACCGGTTTAATTCTCTTCCTATGAAAAAAGTCTTTCCTCTTGGAGAAAATTATTTATGCTGAAGGGCAGTGACACAACTAGCAGTTTCTATCTTGTAACTAGAGAACCCTTAGAGAACCCTACTATGGCTTTGCACACTGAAGCTTTGTAAAATTCCTTGGGCTCATGCTTTTTTATGTCATTATGGAAAAAAACAAAGCAAAACAAAACCAAAAAACAGCTGCTCCTTACAGACAAGGCGCACTTACAACATTGGGAGTTCACCACACAGAGGCAAGGGTTTGTATTTTGGAAAGTAGTCATAATCTCTGTGGATGAGGGAGCCTGAGAAAATACTGCAGGTTAAGCAATCACAGTGTAATTCAGTTTAAATTAAAGATAACTTGAAAACACTTGCAATGGATTTTATTTAAGATGTGGGAGTTTTTATAAACTAAGATTTAGCTTAAAAACCTGTGACTAAGGAGACTAGGAATTTGAATGGGGAAAAGACCTGGAAGTTCTTCAAGTCCAAGGTGATAAAGCTATCAGGATTTTATATTTCAAGAAAGGGGGAAAAAGTTGTCAAGTCCTGCACTTCTTCCTAGCAAGCACTTCCAAAAAGATGTTAGAAGTAGTGTAAGAATCTACAAGGAATTAAAAAGGGTCAAAAGAAGAGCTAGCAAAGATACGCAAGAAATCAAAAAAAGTAAGGAAAAATGAGCAGTTCAAGTTAAGACTATACAACTAATATTACAAGCTGAATCAAAAGTCATATGAGTAAGACTTTTCCAGTCATATGTATAAGAATAGAACAGGGGGAAAAGCAGCGGGATCATCATACAATGATGATAGCATAGAAGTGTAAGATAATTTTCTTTTTAAAATTAAATTAATGCTGTGACTCAGTTTTCAATAAAGAGGAGATGGCTGGCCATGGACAGGTTAGCAAGTTTATGGCAAGAGACTGTATCACCTGAAGATGGAAACAAAACTCAAATAACTTAACGCACTTAAATCAGAGTAAGCAGGTAATCTCCCTCCCAGAACTGTAATACAATGAGCACACAAAATCAGATGAACCTGTGAAGATTTCTTATAAAACCCCTGTCAGACTAATTTACATTTTGACAGGAGAATAACAAGTTAGTAACTATATTTAAGAGCAAATGAAAAAATTATCCCACCAGTTTGATCTCATCAGTATGCAAAACTGTAGAACAAATTTTAACGGTGCAGCGACAGTTAATTTTTCACCCCTTTCTAGCACTAAAGATGCATCATTCCTGGTTGAGAGTTAAAAATCCATCTTTTCCTGAAGGAAAATAACTGAGTTTCAAGAGAAAGGGAATGTAGTACCCTTTCTATAGTTCAGCAGAGTATCATGTATTGTGTCACATAGAAAATTTTAATGAGAACTGGAGATAAGCTTTTACAGTGAGTAAAAAAAAAAAAAAAGTTTTAAAGCAAGTAAGAAATTGGCTAAGGCGAGAAAACATCAAAATGCCAGAAAGGTGCTAGCAGACTACTTAATAGATTTACCTTAGATCTCAGTTGAGCATATATTCCTATTAATGCCCTTTCTGCGGAAAGCTGAAGTCTCCCAAAGCCATTTGTAGATGACATAAAATTGGGAAACAAGTCCATGTACAAAAGAAGATTATAATGCCATGCAGGAAGAGCCTCACAAATCTCGTAATGCAGAGTGTCAGAAATTAAATTGAATTCAATAATGAACGGGACACTCAGGGAGTTCATCAGTTAGAAACAGCGATGGGAGGAAAAGCTTGTGTCTATTAGTTTGATCCAAAAAGAACTACCAGCCATCAGTATTAACTGGCTGTGAAAAAAGCAAAGCCCAGGATACAACATACCTGACAAAACAAACTGGCTGATTGACCTAACATACTGGGAGTAGTGGAGGAGACATCAGGAGTCAGTGAAACTAAAGGGCAATGTCAATTTAAGTGCAATAGGAACAAATTAGCTATGAATACACTCAAGCCAGAAGTCAGATAGACATTTCCAAGAAGAGAACAGTCAACAGGAGTATTACACTCAGTCAGTTTACCATTTGAAACAGCAAGATATTTTATAAACACATATTCCACAGTCTAACAGAGAGATTAACTCATCAAGAAGGTCCCTTTCAGTCATATGCTCTATTTCATTTTAAAGAAATAAAGACAAAGCTCATGGGAGAAGGTATTTTTTTATGAGATCTGTTAGCATAGCTGGGAAACAAACACCACATTTAGAGGGACACAAACCTTTTAAGCTTTTCTTATTATAAGCTATGTTCACAATCTGTAAAATATCATATATCAGAGCAACAAATAAGACAATCAAGATAATTAGATTAATCCATTAGTCATCTTAATGGGCTAAGAGAATCCAATAGGATCAAAGTAACCCTGCTGTTTAACAATCCCACATTATGAAACAGGTCTACTCCCTAATCTATACCTAACCCAGGTCAGAGGACTGGCTCTGACTGCAAAGAGTCCGAATTACCATCTCTTTATATGAATTACTGGCTTCTTTAGTGGAAGAAGATGCTGAAGAGAAGGTCAAGGCTTCACTGAGCATCCATCCACAAACTTCCTCTGAAGTCTTAGACACAAGTTTCTTCATATTCCATCTGTGAATTTGGGAGGACCACACCATATCCCAAAAAGTCAGGAGATACTCGACCAGTGACTGAACTACTGCAAGGAAATTATGCCACCAAGATGTGCAAAGTAAAAATGGAAAGACAGGCATTTGGAAATCTCCTTTATTTCTACATGTTCTGATTGACTTTTCTTGTTTAGTTTCCATTCATACCTAAAGAAGGTGGCTTCCAGATACCACAGAAAACAAAATAAAAATATAATTCACCTAGGGTCATATAATACTGAAATCCTGATGATTTCAACAGGCATTTGAATAGGTAGCTTTTGCATTGGAAGACCTCTTCTGACTTTGAATTAGACAGAGCTGTCCCAAAAGAGCCCAATCAAGAATGTAATTAATAGAATAATTTTTATTTATATGTTCAAATAGCCACAGTTACGACAGTAAAGAAGAAAACAGGCTTTAAGAGCAAATACCCTGGAGACAGAAAGATATAAACACTTGGAAAAAATAGCACATCAGCAA